AGGCCCACTGCCCTGGCTCTGTGCACTGGTCTGATCTGGTGCATGGGGCCATGGCATCTGACTACAGGGCCTGGAAATTCTGCAGAACCAGCATCAATTGCAACCACTTCCCCACCACCAAATTTCCAGATCTGTGGGAAGCCCTGAAGGCCAGATCTGGCCTGTGGGTTGGCGGTTCAGCACCAATGCACTAAAGGATTTGGATGCCTCAGTTCCTGAATTTAGGTATCTAATGGCTCCAAACCACCAGCCTACCCTCCACCTCAGGCTGGGCAAAACCCAGCCTGGAGCTCCTTTCCCTCTCTTCTCCCTCTTCCCATCCTGCAGACAGCACCCGAGCTGGGGGAGAGGGGTGGGGCTAGCGGAGGAAGGCTGCAAACAGGCAGCTCCTCCTGGATTGGCTCCAAAGTGGAGCTCAATCCTCTACCCCCTCCCCACCCCAAACCCAACAGCAAATGTCTGTTGGGTTGGGGAGGTCACTCTAACTCATGGCACTTTCTGTAAAGTGCCATGAATTAGAGCAGGGAGCTGCACATCTGTCAAATGCCTATCACTAGAAGAGAGCCATACTTGCTCTCTCTCACTCTTTTGCCCTCCCAGACACAAGTGTCTAATAATTCTGTGGAAGCTATTTTACTTTGCATAAGAAGGATTAGAATTTATCACACCCCACCCTAAATAGCCTCCAGCTTGGTGGTTAGGGCACATTCCTGGAAATAGGAAAAGTGGGTTGAATCCCATCAGTGACAAAACAAAAACACAGTGTGGACTATAAACCAGAGGTGCTGACTCCTAGGTATTTTCTTTAGCCATTAGACCAGCCAAGTAACATATTGCCTCCATTTAGTTTGCTTTTCTACATTCTGGGTTGAATTCATATTTAGAGTGAGTAAAAATTATACCTACCAAATTAAATCCATTTCCAAAGCAATGAAGTGAAAATGATGCCATTCCTTTGCAGGGAAACATGAATAAATTTTTTTATAGTAGCTAAAATCAGTTTAGCTTAGCAACCCTAAAGCCATTCTACCTCAGAGGTGAAACAACTGATTCAGAAAGTATTTTAAGTTAGGCAAACTGCTGCAATACCTGTGTGAAGACCAGGCCTAAGGCCTTTTAATGCCTTTCCTGTAGGTCAAAGAAGCCCTATGAGTGCAAATGCAATTTATCCCTCTTTCCGCTGTCAAAGTGGTAAAGAGTGTCCTTGGTATAAATCAAGTCAAGCCCCAAATGTATTCTTCCTTGCTCTATATGTGAGAAAAACAAATACATTTTGAAAAAAAAACGTCCATAATTCAAAACATTTCTTATGCCTGTGCATGGAAGAAATAAAAAGGGCTTTTAGTTTTCTCTTGTTCTTTTCTTTAAAATTTTTGTCATGTAACTTGTTGCAAGTCACACCCACACTCTGTGAACTATAATTAAAAGAAAATGGTTAGGGGATTTGTTATTTATTCCATGATAATAGGCTTCTGCTGCTACATGAATGCAAATCAGGCAAAACTGTGGCATGTATGGAAAATATATGTTGGGGAAAAGCTGACACATTTATATTCAAAGCAGAAGACAGTAATCCTGTAACAACGTTCTATTAGGCCACACAAGTGATGCAGAGTTTAACACTTTTTATCATAGAAGTGCTGGTACTGTTGAATGGCATCTGCTTATAACAGTCCAAATCCCACCAGCACTTGATGATTTAGTTTCATTCACATAGGTAGCAGGAATACAGTTTACTCACATGACTCAAGTTTGCCAAATCTAGCTCTGATTTAGCCCTCATGGCTCAGCCTCGTCTTGGGGCAACATGGATATGCACAATCTCAGTTTTCTGGAAGGGACTGTAGATCAAAGAGGCCAAACAGACTCATCATAAGCAGACTATTCTGTCTGCGAAGAGACTTTTGCATGCTAGTCAATGATCATAAAACCTTTTTTATAATTAAGTTAGATTCTCTTCTATATACATCCTCTTGCATTCTTGTCGGCTGCTTGGAACAAAAGTAGTGAGATGGATTTGATGTACTGAAAACCTACCTAAAATCCACCACTCAGCACACACTGCCATACATATAAGCTATTATGCATACAGGTTGATGGCCAGTAAACTACCCAGTTTGTCATATGAGTATATGTAGTGATGGGTTGCACACTTCTTCCATGGTAATTAGTAAAAGAGGGGGTTCCTTTTAGGCCTGACCTGGCTTCTAGACCGAGGCCTGGTTATTTAGGCTGACAATTCTAATGTCAGTTTATTTACTAAAGATGTAGGGATTGTTGATGAGGGAAGTTGCATAATGAGAAAAATCCTTAATAAACCTTTGAAAGTGCCTGCTTGTAATTTAACCATTTCCTTGTAAATGTTCAGAAAGTAATTACCAAATCCATGGCATTGCACTAGTTTGAGACCTCCTTTGTATGAAAACTCTTAGAGTCAGATGTTCCCACCATAAATCAGCAAGATCCCACTGAATTAAACAGAGCTAGACCACTCATGTTTTTAATACCAATCATTAAAAATGCTTGCTTTATTTTTTTAATAACTCCTTCTAAGACTATGGGAATGTTAGGTAAAGAAATACCTCCAAACACACTTCAAGTTAAGTAGAACATAAATACTTTCAAATCAATTTTTGTTTGTGCATCTCACTGTTCAAAAAATAACCAAAGTTCTCTCAAGCTTGCAATACCATCAGCACAGTCTCCTTGCAGGTGGCAGTCTTCTTGAAGATAGCAACTTCCCAGCTAATTTATTAGAATTACTACTAGCAGTGAAAGTATTCATCTGGATAATTTTTTTTTAACCTGGAATCAATCCCCCTGAAAATTATAACTTGGATTTCTTATTCCCAAATCTGAGGCAACTCTATTTCAAGTTGGGTTTTTTTTAAGTATAACAGCCAAGTTTCTTAAAAGCAGTTGTGTTCTCTTGTTACACAAAGGAAACTAAATGGATTTAAGTGATTGGTAGAAGGACAGTCTTTCACATGCATGTTTCCATTTACTACCTATCCAATGCTTTCATGATGGCATACATTGAGGGCATGCATATGGTGCTCTCAATCCATTTTTTATAGCGGGGCTGTCCACTTGGCAATCTGCATGCTTCATGCGGCCTCTGAGGGGTTGAACTGTGGCTCCTGGTCCAGGCACCACTCCCCTCTTCAGTTTTTGCTGCCACTGGAGTCGGTGGGATGCCCCTCCCTCCCCCAGCTTCTGTTGCCTTTCTCCCCTCCATGGGATGGGGCAGATTAGTGTAACCCATGGTTCTGACTGAGTCCACAGCTGGAAGGCTAGAAGGTCAACTAGTTGAACCTTCCTCCTGCCAAGGCTTGATGTATCATGCCAATATCAGTGAACTATAGAGTCAGCCACTGCTCTTAGAGATGCTCCGTTTTGTATAGACAAACATGCAACCTGTTATAGAAAGTCCCTGAAGTTAGGGTACTCTCCTGGAATGAAAAAAAAAATTCAAGTGACCTGAATCTGGGTCTCCTCTGTTGATATTGGCTCTTCAAGGGTCTGTCTCACTCTTAGATGGTTTGACCAAAAATTAGCTCCTGTACTCCAGCAGCCTGGTAGCCTAAAGTTTCATGGAAACCAGTTCATTTCTCCAAAAAGTTCTGGCTTTGCCAAATCAATATTTTGTTATTAAAAAGAAAAAAAACCTGTATCAAAAGATTTCTGACCATTTGTAGTGTGTTGTTTCTAGCTGCTAGTCTACTGCCGCCTGCTAAGGTAGTTCTTTGCTCAGGGGATAAAGACCTATGCTTCCTGAAGCTGAACAGCCCGATTTCAAGTCCCATTCATTTTACTAAAAGCTACCACCACAAATTATTGGACCAGATGTTGGCTGTCTCAGCAGATACTGAAACTTCAAGATCTAACCTCTTTCTAGCTCAGTGCTGAGGCACACAGTGGATAAAACTTGCATTGTCCAGGGTTGCCAACCCATGACAATCTTTTTTATTGGCAACCTGCCAATTTTGACTTATATCAATAGAAAACTTCTGGTTGTATGTTTTCACTGATATATTTTACGTAATGTAAAAGGTAGACCAGACCCTGGGCAAGGACGGGTTCAAATTTGGAGTTTTAAAAGCACCATAATAAAAATGTTTGGTTGTCAGTAAGAAGTTTGCAGATTGTCAGTAAAAAATATTTCTTGTGTTGGCAACCCTACTTGACTGTAGCAGTGGTTTTAAACCATGCTTCCCCACCCCACAGGAGTCCCCTACTCACTCCCACACCCTGATACCCCTGACCACCATCCTGTATCATGCTGCACCCTCCTCCCCACACACACACACCCAATCCCCAAGCCTTAGCCCTGCTACTCTGGCCTGGCACAGACCCCCAAACAAAAACTACTGTCTGCCTACTTGTGACCCAGCACTGGAGACCAGATGCAGCAGCAGCTGCTAAAAGATGAGGTGGGTAGAGGGAGCTAGAGACTTCTGTGAGCCACAAAGCCCTAAAATGAACTCCATACAGGGTGCTCTGCTCCTGCTTAAATACCAGTTAGGACTGTTCTGCTTTGTCTGTCCTTCAACACTGCCTCAAGCTTCTTTCAACTGGCATAGCTTCAGTCAAGGTCCTATTGCTTGGTTTTGGTATTTAATGGATGGCTGCATCTTTTCATATGGATTTTACAGACAGGTGTTTTTAGCCTTGTTTTTTATAGTGTCCATAAATATATGGACAGTTGGCAAGTCTAACTGTATTCATCAGCCAAAGAGGCACCTTCTATAAAATCACTATATCACTACAAAATATTTTGAAAGTCTTGAGATTTACCTTTTCACTTCTCTGTAATTCAGCATCTTGGTTTCTCAGTTAAGAGCCACATGCAACCAAGTTCAAAATCAGCAGGATGTTGAAGTCAGTCAAAAGAATAGATTCTCGGGGGGTTTTCACCCCTCCCCAGGCTGCTTGCGAGTGATAGCAAAAATACTTTTGATGTATTCTGGGAGACAAAACTGAACATGGATGCGACATACCTTTTGCTCCCTTCATTGCATACCAGCTATCAGGGATGCAGCTTTCCTTCCATCTGAGAAAGAAAGGATTTAGGACAACTGAGCTTAATGGAAGTAGTTCAAGAGATTTTCAGTCCAGCTGTAAGAAAGCCTGAGAGATGAGAGAGAAAGCAGCTGCTAAACTACTGCCATATTTTTTCCACCCCCTGTTCTATAACCGTCCTATATATTTTGCAATCCACTATCCCTAGTGATGTGGTCATTTCTGGTCTATCAGACATATACAGAGTGTGGTTTAATCAGTAGTCCAAGTTATTGTTTTACTGTAGCAATGAAAGAAAAACAAATAGTTAACAAGAGACTAGGCATCTCTATAATTGCTGACCTTCAATAGTCTGTGTGACTTTAGGACACTTGGTAATAAATAGACTGGTGTAATATTTACAGACATGTCTGGAATGCAGTAAGTTACTCTCCTCTCTTACACAAAGTCATTAATGGTACTATTAGGAATCAAACCACCACTGTTCATGTTCACCACAACAGTTATATCTCCTTTGCCATCAGCTTATTTGGTATCTTTATATTTGATTTTGATTGGTTATTCCCTGATAAGTCTCCCTAGTTGTAGGTTTAGTATATCATTATAAGAGGTTAAATTATTTCAATGAACAATTTTGTAAAATCACTCAAACCCTTATATTCCCTAGTTTAATAATCAGGAAAAGTCATAAGGACAATTTCTCAATCTGTTTATTTCAATTGGAAAGGACTGTGTTGCAGGTCAGAAAGTAAATTTTCCTACTTGAAAGTACAAAGCTAAAATTCCCTGTCTCTAGCAGCCAGTTTCCAGTGTTTTGAAATGCTGCTCACTGAAGCAAAAGGGAAAAATAGAAAATAATATTCTGGAGAGTAAACACTAAAACATAAAGCAGGGGTTGTCAACCAGAGGTACATATACCCCCGGGGGTACTCGAGAAGGCCCTAGGGGGTACTCATGGGTGGGCAGGGATGAAGCACCGCCACACACCATCCTGCATTGTCGCGCAGGTGCCACCTGACCAGCTGGATTGGGGGGCGGGGGGGGAGGAGGAGCTCACACATGGCGGCTGCCGCCACTCTAAATTTGGCCTCATACCACCCTGCCCCCTGCCCCCTCCCCCAGCTCTGCATCTGGCTGCTGGGGGTATACTGCTCTCCATCTGACTGCCAGGGGTACACTGATCCAAAAAGGTTGAAAACCCCTTATAAAGGAATCGTCCCCCTCCCCCCAAGAAAAAAATCTAACTGCACAATCAGCTTCTGAAAACTTTGAGAGTAGCAGGAAAGTTGAAGTGTGAATTTGGTCTTTGAGTTGCACCAGGCACACAAGATTTACATAGAAGAGTAGAATAAAAAATAAATAAATAAACCCCCCCAGCATTTCTGAAGCAACAGATCAAATTCATAACATTTCAGAGTCCCATTAAAAGTTTGATAATTATTTGCAGCTGCCATTAAGCTATTTCCTTTACATTCCATGGCACTGAAAGCAGAAAGAAAGAGTCTTTAGGCCAATTTTTATGGATCATAGTGTTGGCTGTAAACTACTCTACTGTGGTTTCCATGCCATTTTTTTTGTGTGCTTGTGTTTTGTTCCAAATACAGAAAATGTATAACGTTGCTTCCTACTTAAAAATAAAATAAAGAGGCGAAAGCATAAGATTTTAGAGAAATAGGATTAAAATGTTTGCAAAACAGGAGCATACATTCTCACCTGGTGACAAACCAATAGTCCAGTTAGTCCAATGTACTTATCTGTCAGTGGTTACTACTTCATATGAAAAAAAACTTGAAATCACCTTATCATAAAAACTCCTCTATGAATCTAACCTCTACCTGAGATTTGGTGCCTGTGGTGATTTGGAGTGTATAACTCAGCTGAAAAACTTAACTCATTGGCATATTTACCAAACACTACCCCACCTCATTTGTTTTTCAATGTTTGTATCATGAAACTTTCGGCAGAATGATTGTACCTTTCACATAACTAGTTCCTGGTATAATTATCCATGCCACCTTTACTTTCTCAGAAAATAACATTTAATTGGATAAAAGCCTAAGGCTTTTTGTGCAGAACACATAGGTTTCTAAGCCAATATCTACAATCCAGACACCTTATGAAAAAAGAATGAATGGAAATCTTTTTTCCTTACCTGCCCCCTCCCTCAAGAGCCTTCAGATTTTTCAGGTCAGTACATAATGGGATATCATAGTTATTTTTGCACAGTAGCCAATAAGGAAATGTGAAAAATCTGTCTCGTTATCGTCTTCCTCGGATGCTGGGCAAGCTATTCTTGGATTAGTTTAGTAAATTCCATTCCCAACCCCTGCATTTCTGCACATGTGTAATTAACATTTGTGTTACGGCAGTGACACACTTCACACGTTATATCCATTTCCTATGTTAGATGTGCTGCCAGCAGAGGAATCCACAAGTGATAGAACAACCATATTATTGCACAACAAATAAATATATAAATATTGGTGGGGGGCGCATTTATTACAACATCAGAGATGAATGAGGGTCTGAAACAAAATCATTCTCGGTTAAAAGAATCAGCAGAAAAAATGAATACAGGTCAGACTAATTAGGAATCTCATCACTATCAAGACATGACAAAACACTCCTCATTGAAAATCTTCATCATGATAATCAGATTTCAGAGAGTGGAGAAGGAAAGAAAAAACAGATACGTGTGCCAAGCAGAACATCCCCAGAAGTGGGAAGAACAAATGAATGCTGAGGGCCACTTTGGCCCTTGTTCTGTAGACCTTGGGAAAAACTTAAGTACTCCAGTGCTTGAAACCACACAAACATAAGGGAGACTAGCAGAAACATGCTGCTTGTGCAGGAGGGTTTATAGGCTGTGAGAAGAGTGACATCTCACATTATAACCCATGATATCTGCATTATGCATTTTGTTGCAAGAGAATCGATGCACTGACCTTTCACGTCCAAATGCCCTATTTCCAGCTAGTTTGCATTTTTATAGGTGTTTTGCTTAGCTCCCATAATTTTGTTTTGGGATGTTTCAGCTGCAAGTATATCAGTGCATCCTCCAGAGTATCCAAGGTTAAAATCTTAACCTGGTTGCATGAAAGGTGAACAGTGCTTCCAGGCTCAGTATGTTTGTTGCTTGGTCCATTATCTAGCTCTGAGATATTCATGAAGTAAAACTATGCTTTTCATTTGTGCATTTTGCCAAGCTTGTACCTTGTTTCTCCTCAAAACAATAAGGCACGCGATTCTGCCCCAAAGGTTAAGTTTTGTAGCTGGGCTCATTCATCATTAACAGTTTGCTTAGAATTCAGTAGTTTGCTCTCTGATTTGAGTAACTGATCTCATTTCAACTCCTGTGAGATTTTTACATTGACTGACTTTAAACTGGTGCTATAAATGCGCTTGGTCCTGGCAATCTTTTAGTCCTTCTCTTTAAACTTCATCATGGTCCCTTCCAACCGCAGCTTCCTGTGATTCTATGTTACACTAACAAGACTGCAACGATTCCACAGTTGCACCCGAGGTTAACAATTGACTCAATCTTTCTACAGATCTTTCACTTCATTTCTACGCTTTGTAAATAGCAATGAAAAATGACTGCACTGGATTTAAGAAATTGGGCTTAAATCATTTGCACACCCCTACTATATGCGAAGACAGACTGGCTGTGTTTTGGCTGACCTGTTTTATTTTTAGAAATAGAAATGACTACTCTCTTTGGTCTGATTCTACTGCAGGTTCTACTCAGTGGATGCGTCTACACAAGACACTAGAAAAGCAGTAGACTAGTTCTACTGCGCATTAGTGCGTCATAGTAAAAGCCATGCTAATGCACTGACGCACAGTAGAACTAGTCTACCACATATTAATGTCACATAAAATATGTGCTGGTGCTACTGCGCAGTAGTGCCAATTAGGGCACGTTAAGTTAGTACCTGTTATTACCAGTACTAAACTTAATGTGCCATAATTACCGTGCATTAAAGTACATGTAAACGTGCCCAGTAATACTTAGGTTTAACTCATTCTCTACTTGAAGGAGGAATTAAATTGTGTAAGTATTTTAAGTTACCTGACTAAAAATCCTGCCCTCTCTCAATTACAGTCTTCCAGTATTTTGGCTCTTGTGACAGCCTAACTTCAACAGGTCTCCAGTCATATCAGAGTCTCCTCAGGTTGACATCCCCTAAGTTCCCCATCATCAAAAACTGTAAGGGAAAAAGATTAATTAAAACAAAACAAAAAATCTTTGGGATGTTGTAGCAGGGACTTGGCTCAGTTCTGCACTCACCACAGCAATGGCTGCCAGGGCATTCCGCAGTCTGTGGCAGCCCAGGCTGTCCCAGCAGTGGGCAATGAGCCCACAAACAGGCTTCATGCCCCCTGCCTTCTTGCCCCCCCCAGTCAGGGCAGGAAAGCAGCGGGAGATGCACTCCCAGCGCCCCCATCTCCTGGGCAGGGCTGAAAGCTAGGCTCCACCTAGACCCAGAGTCTGGATGAAATGAAGAATAAGCCACTGGCATACCCCGCACCACCTAGAACTGGGAGGCTGGAGTTGTAGCTAATAATGAGCCCCACAGAGGCTCTCAGCACCCAGCAGCAGCCACAGGGCATGCAGGGACACTCAGGGGTCCGAGTTGGCTCAGACCAACCCAAAACTTCCTCTACAGGGCAGAGGCAGCCCCAAAAGGGAGGAGGCGCTGGTGTAGGCACTGGGTCCACCAGGGCAGAGGATGTCTCAGAGATCAGCCCAATCCTGGTTCCCATAGCAGGAACCCGAGCCACCCTGCAGATGCTGGATGCCAGGTACCTGCAAGGGCCTCATGGGGGTTCATAGTATGTGTGACCCAAAACTACCCACCGGGGTTGGCCCTCTACAGGCCTGCCCTGTGAATTAGGTTTGTGACTGGGGACGAACCACAAAGAGCCTCAGCTGCCTGAGGAGAAGCTAGGCCCATAAATAGATGATAGAGATGATTATTTATGTTATATTGCTTTATTAATTTCTACGTGGGATAGGTATCATTGGTGGCAGACCCTTACCAGAGTCACAGGGCTTGGCCAGCTCCCGTCAGTCCCAGACCGCTTTGTTCTTTTCTTCTTACTTACGGTTTTTTCCTCCATCACGTGAAGACAGGAGCCTGGGAAGGCCAGGCACCTATCTTGACCATCACCTGAACACCCAAATGGAAAAGTGTAC